TGTGGTAGAGCTACAGAGGTCGGCCGAGGTTAACCTACAACGGCACACGTCCGACGTCCACTACGGCTCAGGCCATACTGAAGCTCCCACCCGCCCTCCACCTGCCTTCACCTGCCTTCACCTACCTTATTTGCCTCACCTGCCTTCACCTACCTTATTTACCTCACCTGCCTTCACCTAGCTATTGTGTTTTTAATAATTAGTAACGTTATTATTATTATTATTATTATTATTATTATTATTATTATTATTGTTATTATTATTATTATTATTATTATTATTATTATTATTATTATTATTATTATTATTATTATTATTATTATTATTATTATTATTATTATTATTATTATTACAATATTATTATTATTATTATTATTATTATTATTGTATTATTATTATTATTATTATTATTATTATTATTATTAACGAAATAAATACCAAGTGTTTCTGTACACTACTACATTACAGCAAATCTTACACGATACCTATTACAATGAATTCAGATGACCCTTCCTCCCTCCCCTCTCCCCTCATCACCCCCCTCCAACTAACCCTTCCCTTCCCTCTCACCCTCCCCTCCTTCCTCTCCCTCCCCCCCTCCCCCCCTTCCCTCTCCCTCCCACCCCCCCCTCCCCCTCCTTCCCTCCCCACCCCCTCTCCCCCTACCCCTGGCCATGGTTTTCCCTACATTATGAAATTAAAACTGAAAAATGAACACACACAGTATACCTGAGGGGGTGGTGGGCAGGTGAGGGTGGGGAGGTAGAGGTGGGCCAGGTGAGGTGGGGGACAGGGGTAGAGGTGGAGCCAGGTGATTGGGGAAGGGTAGAGGTGGGCCAGGTGAGGGATTCCTAAAGGTTCGTAAGGTAAGTTTAGGGACGTTAGGTTAGGTTAGGTTAGGTTAGGTTAGGTTAGGTTAGGTTAGGTTAGGTTAGGTTAGTGTTACTTTTGGTTAGTATCAAGATAGGTTAATGTTACGCTTAGGTTAGCATTAAGTGGGATTAATCATCAGATGATCCGAATTAGCATAAGTGTGTGTGTGTGTGTGTGTGTGTGTGTGTGTGTGTGTGTGTGTGTGTGTGATAATTCTAATAATAATAATAATAATAATAATAATAATAATAATAATTAACGGTTTAATGACAGAGCATGGCGGCTGGAAGGCTGAAAATATACAGTAACATAATTGGGGAATGGGTCACTTGATGGACAAATAATATAAGTGATACAAATATGATATATAATAACTAGGTGGGGAGAAGGTTATTTAACAAAGAATTTCTGAATAAGTGACGATGATATGTGGAGTGATGGGGGAAGAGATCTTGCCCCTCTTCTGCACTTTTCTAGGTTTTTCCGTCGTGTGGCATTGAGGGAGGAAGAGCAGGCAGGTGAACTTGGGAAGTATGAATAATGAGTAAGCACTGAGGAGCTCCGGCGAGGGAACTCCGAGGGACTTGAGACGGTGGAGGAGGTGGAGACGGAAGCTGGAGGATTTGACAACTTTACCGACGTGTGTTTTTCAATTTAGTTTGTTATCTATAGTGACGCCGAGGAGCTTAGTGGAGTCTACAACCTGGAGTGTGTTGGGGCCCAAAGTAATGGAGGGAGGTGGGACAAGGTCGGAGGAGAGGTTGATGTGCATAACCATGGTCTTGGTATGGTTGATGGTGACGCGGTTGTTGGTGGCCCTTGGAGACTGTTCAATAAATCCTGAAGGGCGGTGTAGTCGGGAGCAGAATTGTTGACGCTGATCCCAATGGTGGCGCCGTCGACATATTTCCAGCGAGCAGGGGTTTCTCTTAGGGCATCATTGATAAGGACGAGGAAGCAGAACGGTCCCATCTTGGTGCCTTGGGGGACGCCACAGGTGAGTGACTGAAAGGTGGAGACAGATCCTCGGAAGCGTACGGCTTGGTGTTGATCATTAAGAAATTCTATAAGCCACGGTATAAAACTTCTCCGAAACCCAAGGTGGCTTTGTTGGTGATTAAATTATGGTTAATTAAGTCGAATGCTTTGGTGAAGTCAATGAAGGCGACAGCCACAAGCGTCTTTCGTTTTTGTTTGTTTTTTTGTTGTTTTTGTTTTATTCAAATAGCATATATAGTCGATAAAGCTGACAAGACAGTGGGTTGTGGAGGAAGTTTTCATATTGCCAAATTGCTGAGGATCTATGGCGCCTGCAATATCAGCATAAGCCCAGTTAAAAACGAAACTTTTGCGGCTTAAGTTGGGTATTGGGGTGATGGCAACGGTTCGTAGCTCATTTCAGGATTATGGGCTCGTTAACTTGGGCACTGGCGACACATATGAGGTCTTCCAGTCTGCTGGGCATCTGGCTTGACTGAGGGAAGCATTGATGATGGAGCAGAAGGGTTTAGATAGTTCCGGGGAGAACTCCTTGTAGAGTTTCATTGGTAAGTCAATGGGGGTGGTGGAGCGCTTTAACTTCAGTTTGTCCAGACGTTTTGCTACTTCAAATTCTTCTACTAAGTCAGTGGGAGAGGGGGCTGGTAGGTATGCAGGGAGAGTGGTTGTGTCAAGCCCGGGGAGCATCTGGCATATAGTAGCGAAATGGTTGTTTGATTGCTCAGCTGCGTCAACATTAGTGAGATGGCTAAGGAGGGGGAGGGGGTGTGTCTTATTGTTTAGTCCACAGAGTTCTTTAAGCTTACCATACCACTGACTGATGTCAGTCTGCTTCAGGTGTTGCAATTTGGTTGGGTAGTGAGACTTCTTTGTAGTGCGTATTTCTCGGATGACTCGGTTGTGAAGAGACCTGTAGTGGTTGTGGTCATTGAGATGAAAGGCTCTGTCTCTCTGTTGCATAAGTCTTTTGATCCGAGGTGTGATCCAGGGCAAGTCAGCTGGGTGAGATCTGACGGACTTCTCGGGGAAGAAGTGGTGGTGAGCTTCCGTGGTGGTGTTGGTATAATTTAACCATTTGGTGTCCACGTCATCCACACTTAAGTACTTCAGTCCAGGGATGGTGAACTATCCACTGCCCGAAGAGACGCACTGCAGAGTCAGTAATCGGCCTGTAGGTCTTGATGTAGGGTCTCTGTACTTGGCTGGTAGTGGCAGCTGGGGACCAGAACACTGATAGGTGTGTGCTACACCCGATAGGAGGCATTGGTTGAGGTGTGTGTGTGCGCGCGCGTTTTTAGCCAGGTAGAACCATCAAGTCATCATCAGCTGTAGAGTCAAGGTAGCTGTGTGTGAGCCAGTCCTATCTTCTGTGGCTGAAAAGAATTTTACCACAAGGAGAGGGGAGATATTTTTTTTTAATCTACAAGTCTGTGGAGATGCCTGAGCCGAGTATGATAGATCACTGCTGTGGAAGTTTTGGAAAGTTTTTTGTTTACATAATACTGGCAAGGTTCGGGTGGGGGAGGTGAGGGACGATGGTAGGAAATTGGGGAGGTGAGGGACGATGGTAGGGGTGGGGGAGGTGAGGGGGCGATGGTAGAAATTGGGAGGTGAGGGACGATGGTAGGTGGGGGAGGTGGGGGGCGATGGTAGGGGGGAATGGGGGAGGTGAGGGGACGATGGTAGAGTCAGGGGGGTGAGGGACGATGTGGTAGAAATTGGGGGAGGTGAGGGGACGATGGTAGAGAGGGGGTGGGGGAGGTGAGGGACGATGGTAGGGGGTGGGGGTGAGGGGCGTGGTAGGGGTGGGAGGTGGGGGACGATGGTGGGGGTGGGAGGTGGGGGCGATGGTAGGGGGTGGGGGAGGTGAGGGACGATGGTAGGGGTGGGGAGGTGAGGGACGATGGTAGGGGGTGGGAGGTGAGGGGACGATGGTAGGGGTGGGGGAGGTGAGGGACGATGGTGAGGGGTGGGGGAGGTGGGGGACGATGGTGGGGGTGGGGAGGTGAGGACTTGATGGTAGGGGGGTGGGGGGTGAGGGTTGATGGTAGGGGTGGGGGAGGTGAGGGGGACGATGGTAGGGGGGTGGGGGAGAGAAGGGTGAGCCATCGTTGAGGTCTGCCTTGACGTATGGCCAATTCTCCATTTTACTCGCATTTAAGGGAGCTCCAAGGGTTATAGGGTTGTACTGGGGTGAGGGAGATTGGAAGGAGGGGATGAGGGTGTGTTGGGTAGAGGTTAAAGTCTTGTGGTCAGTCGAATAATGTTGATAATTCTAATTATTTGTAGTTGAAGAATGGAATTATTGTGTTCTGATTGTGAGAAAATTTGATTATTATTAATTGGGTTCATATTATGGCATTCAAGCTGTGAAATTATTTTGTGTTAAGTGTTATTATATTTAAGTTCAGAATGTTGTGGTTTGACAGAAAAAATAGTAATCTTTATTATCATCCTTGACAAGATAAATTAAAGTGAACGTACTCAAGGAATTTAATTGTCGTACACAAAGGTTTATATTATCGTATCCAGGAAGGTCAATTATAACACTGGCAGGGTTATAAGTTATCGTGTCAAGAGAGAAACACCATCATACTTCATAAGGAAATTACTCGGCTGTGAACCAACTATGAGACACTCACAGTAAACATATATCAACACAGTAAATATAACACGAACTCAAGGTAAACATTATACTACGCTGTAACTACCAACATACGAAGCTGTGGCATTTAATTTAACATAACAAGCTCATTTATACGGTCACTGTACACCATTTTGTATCAGAGAGACCAGATGTTGGGAGTAACAGAGAAAATTGATTGTTGAGAAGTAATAAATGTTTTATCTTAAACTTCAAGGTTATGGCATGTTGGACGCTTTACCCCTCTCACGTGTTTGTTCATTAATATCAACTAGTGCAAGAAGTATAGTCTCTATTTATACTTAAGTCGTAATGTATGTATGTATTTTATTTTTTATTATTAAAGGAGATGCGGATGATTTCACAGTAGGGAGTTATTACAACCAACAATGATACCGAACAATGGGTGTGTTGGGTGGGTGTCTTTGTGTGTGTGTTATCAATGTGGGAGTGAGGCTAGGTTATTCTCATCGGTACACACACACACACACACACACGCAGTCCATACACACAGTCACTCACACTCACCCAAGCAGTCCAGTCATCACCTCTCAGTTTTGTTCCTCCTCTTCTCAAGATGTTGGTTCCTACCTTAACTGGAAGAGTGGCGCTTGTAACAGGTAAATTATTATCAATCTTTTTTCTTTATTTCTTTCTTTCCTTCCTTCTTTCCTTCCTTCTTTCCTTCCTTCTTTGCTTCAATTAATACATATATCAAGCATGAGGTTAGCCATTGTTATAGACCTTTAGTACAGGTCAGCGAAAAAAAAATACTACATGAAAAAATAGTCGCATATCAAAACAAAAGCATTCTTATACTACGGACTCAAAAGTATAAAAAAAAAAATAACAAAAGGAAAAGTTATTTATTAAAGAAAAAACAATAAAAAAAACTCATTTGAAAAAGTAAAAAATCGGGTAATGTATTTGTTATATAGAGGTATAGTGTATATATATCAAGAGGTTATTTTTGAAGGATTCTTTCATGTAAGTTCAGTTATTTATAGTGTTGTATAATGTTACGGAGAATGAAACGTTTGAGTAATATTTGCAACAGAATTATCGAGAAATACATGCAACTTAATACATGCTTAACAATATAACACATATACAAACCACACACGACAAAACACACACACACACACACAAAACACACACACACACACACACACACACACACACACACACACACACACACACACACACACACAAAACACACACACACACACACACACACACACACACACACACACACACACACATAAGACGCAAGGAAATATATAAAATAAATAAAATCGATACGACAGACAAAGAGACAATCGTGATAAGCCTAGATAAGAGTTTTAATTAAGCGGAGAACAATAACAAATATCTTACACACACACACACACACACACACACACACACACACACACACACACACACACACACACACACACACACACACACTACTACTACTTTGCTGTCACTCGGAATCAAGTATGACGATCATCCAGCTGTGAGACAATGATATGAGTTATTAAGGATGTCACCTAGGTTGGTGAGCTCTGAGGTGACTAAAGAGACTGATACAGGACCCGCAGCGTCGTTCACATTCGTTGCACATGTGGCGGGCTCCATCTACTGCAAGAGGGGCGGTGGCAGCGTCTTTCCGGCATTGGCGCTTGTCTGCTTCGGTTTGCAGTCGGGCTAACTCGAAAACATTGACACCTTCTCGTGTGGTGCTCCTCCAAGCGTTACGGTTTGTCTTAAGACTATCCTTATACCTTTTCAGTTGCCCGCCAGCGTTACGTTTACTATTCGTTAGGTGACTGTAAAGTAGCTGCTTTGGCAGTCTACCGTCGTCCATGTGGGTAACATGGCCAGTCCAGCGTAGTTGTTCATGGATAATGGTAGCCTCGATGCTCCTACAGTTGATGTTAGCGAGAATACTGGCATTTGTTCTCTTGTCTTCCCAGCGAACTCTGAGGATGGAAAATAGACTATGTTGGTGAAAGTCTTTAAGTCCCTTGAGGTGCCTCCTGTATGTGACCCATGTCTCACTGCCATATAGCAGGGTGGGGAGGACCACTGCTCGATATACGTGCAGCTTTGTAGATAATTTCAGCTCCCTACAGCTGAAGAAACGATTTCGGAGTCCGCCAAAGGCTTGAGATGCACATCTGATCCGATGCTGAATATTCTTCGATGTCTGCGGTGGTGGACAGGTGGGACCCGAGATACCGGAAGTGGGCAACATTAGAGGGCCTTGTACCGTTAAGCTGGATGATTGGTGGAGGTGTATCTGAACCAGGGGCAGGTTGAAAGAGAATCTGGGTCTTACGTACATTCACCTCAAGGCCGAAGTGTGCATACGCGTCTGCGTAGGTGTTCAGGATCTCCTGTAGGTCGTGTTCATTGTGAGCAACAAGGGTGAGGTCGTCTGCATACTGAAGTTCAATAATGGAAACTGCCGACACTTTGTTCTTGACTGGAGTCGTCTTTTATTAAAAAAAAACCCCTTCACCCAGTACTCGATGTTCATCCTACTGGCTAAGTTGGCACTGGCTCGAGTAAGGAAGGCAGCCAAGAAGATGGAAAAGAGTGTTGGTGCCAGTACACACCCTTGTTGAACCCCTGTTTGGATAGGAAAGAACTCTGACTGGGTGCTGTTGTGCAGGACAGTTCCGTTCATGCCATCGTGGAGTTTCCTCACAATGGCGATGAATTTTGGTGGGCAACCAAAACGGCTGAGGGTCCACCAGAGGGCTTCCCTGATGACCGAGTCAAAGGCCTTGGTTAGGTCGATGAAAGCCACGACACTGTTCTCTGCACTTTTCCTGTATCTGGTGGGAAGCAAAGATCATGTCAGTGGTGCCACGTGATGGCTTAAAACCACATTGAGATTCTGAGAGGAAGTTTTCCGCCTCAGGAAGAAGTCTGTTTAGGAGGACTCGGGGTATAATCTTGCCAGCCACGGAGAGCAGTGAGATCTGACGGTAGTTGCCACAGTCTGACCGGTCTCCCTTGTTCTTATAAATAATGACAATGGAGGCGTCTTTAAGAGCTTGGGGGATTTCCTCCTTTTCCCATATATTCTCCAGGAGAGAGTGGAGACAGCTGGTAAGCAGAGGTCCTCCTGTTTTATACACCTCGGCTGGGATTCCATCAGGCCCTGAGGCTTTGTTATTTTTCATCTGTTTGATGGCAGTAGCTACCTCATCCAGGGATGGAGGATAGCTGAGGTGGGTCAGCTCTGGATGCTGAAGTGACCTGCTGGGTAGTCAGGACATCCACATCGGTGTTTCGGTTGAGCAATGAATGGTAGTGCTCTTTCCAGCGTTGAAGGAAGCCTTCATCGTCTTTAATTATGAGGTTACTTTCAGATGAGCGGATGGGGGCTGACCCATGAGTGACTGACACATAAAATGTTTTAGTGGAAATGAAAAATTCGCGCATCCTGTGCTGATCTGCAAGTTTTTGTGCTTCTCATGCATCATTTTTAAGCCAGTAGTTCTTTAGATCGAGAAGTTCCCGCTGGGCTGCCGCTTTCTTCTTGCGGGAGGTATCATCTTTGGTCCAAAACTGAGGGTTGTTCTGCCAGTTATTAAAAGCAGCATGTTCGAGCTGCTCTCTGAAAGCATGTGCTACCGCTGGATCCTCCAGATTCTTAGTATTAAAACCTCTTCTGGAGGCTTGCTGCTTTCGCCGTTTTGGGGCGACGGGAGGTGAGAGCTTTGGGTCTGACATGTCGATGATCAGTGTCACAGTGGTCTGAGCCACGCATGGCTCACGTGATGAGGACATCTCGGCGATCTCTTTCTCTAACAATGATGTAGTCAATGAGATGCCAGTGTTTGGATCGTGGGTGTTGCCACGAACCCTTGAACTTGTCGGCCTGCCCAAACAAGGTATTGGTGATAGTGAGGTTGTACGCAGCACACTTGCTGAGGAGGAGTAGGCCGTTGGGGTTACGCTTGCCTAGTCCATTTCTCCCTATGGGTCCCTGCCAAATGTTAGCATCACTGCCAACTCTGGCATTGAAGTCGCAAAGGAGCCCAATCTTATCTTCTCTGGGGATAGAGGTTAGCACTCTGTCGAGGTCAGCATAAAAGGCCTCCTTGATGCCATCCTCTGCATCCAGTGTTGGGGCGTATGCACTGATGAAGAAGGCATGACGTGAGTGATTTAGTGGGACTCGAAGCGTCATGAAGCGCTCGTTGATCCCAATAGGTATTTCAGTTAGCCTGTGTAGGATGTGTTGGCGGGTGATAAAGCCAACTCCATAAATGCGGTTTCTATCCGCAGCAGGCTTACCCTTCCAGACGAAGGTATAGCCAGACCCCCGTTCTGTGAGTCGACCCTCGTCTGGGAACTGGGACTTATTGATGGCTGCTATGTTGATGTTATACCTAGCCAGCTCTTTTGCCACAAGGGCAGTTCTTCTTTCAGGATGCGCATTTGTGCCAATATCCAGAAGGGTCCTGACATTCCATGCAGCGACCATAAGAGGTTGTATGTTTTTTGTTTGTTTTTTGGATCTGTGATTTTTGTTGTGTTTTCGTCTGCATAAGGATGACCTTACTGGGTGCAGTTACCCAGTCAGGTTGGGTTCTTAGGCAGGCTATGTTTAGGACACCTTTTCTAGCCCCCTCCCCTTGTGGGGTGATCAGGGTGGCTCCCCGAAAGGGCTGCTCAGTCGCACAGACAGGGCCGGATTGCACTGCTGCCTAGATCCCAGTGCATAAACGACCATCTTATCTGTGCCGCCCATGTGCAGAATTGTGACTAGAGACTCCCGCTAGTCATCTCTGCCTGTCCTCGCAGCCACTCATCCATCGCCATAGTATTTTTGGCGGTATAGGGATTTTGATGATGATGAAAGGTATGATGAGCTGGGTGATGGCTGCGTGTGAGTTGATTTATGTGGTGAGGCAGGAGCGCAGGCTGCAACCACACATCTTGGCTCTCCCTTTTCCTGATCCAGTGGTGCAAGTGTTGCAATGACTGGGGAGAGGGAGAGTTGCAATGGACTGCCGATAGCCCAGTTTGTTGGTCTTCGCCTTAGTAGCCTGTCCATCAGGCATTGCCTTCGTCCGCCGGTGTAGTCGTTGGGTTTCGATGGTGGTCACCTCTTCCATCTATACCGCCGTTGGCGTCTAGTTGGAGCTCTGTAAGCATGTCTGCCTGATGTGGGGCTCCACCGGAGATTTTTCGTTCAGGGTTTACTCCTGTAGCCTTATACCTGCCAAGGTTAATCCGCGAGGCAGCTGGGCGGTGGATGGTAGGCGCCAGGACGTGTCCACATGCCAGTGGGCCTATGCGCCGTCCCTCTGGGGCCCACTGCTGCTCCGAGATCCCCTGCTGGTCTAGCCTGGGCCCACGAAATACCCAGTTACCTTGTGTTGCCACGAGGACGGACAGCAGGAGTCTTGATGGTGAGGAGGCTGTGTACTGGCAGGGGAAGACTTATGCAAGTTGCTTCCGTCTTCGCCACGACGGCTAGCCAGCGGCGCCAACTGAAAGCGAGAGGGAGCAAGCAGTGCTTGCACCTTAACACTAACATAATGCTGCCACACTAGACTCATTTCATCACCCTGTGTGTGGCACACACACACACACAACACACACACACACACAC